TTTCTCTGTCACTCAGGCTGCAGTGTAACAGCACGGTCTCAGCTCACTACATCCTCTACCTTCCAGGTCCAAGCAATTCCCCTGCCTCAGACTCCCAAGAAGCTGAGACTACAGGTATGCACCACCAAGCCCAGTTAATTTTTTGTGTTTTTAGTAGAGATGGGGTTTCACCATGTTGGCCAGGGTGGTCTTGAACTCTGGACCTCAAGTAATCTGCCAGCCTCAGCCTCCCAAAGTGCTGGGATTACAGGCGTGAGCCACCACACCTGGCCAGAAAATAGCTGATTATTTAGATTTTGACTTAATATAAAGTTAATATATTATCTCATACTTGCTTTAATTCCTTTTCTAACTTTTCATTTTTGAATAATTACTGACTTATAGAAAAGTCTGAAAAATGGTACAAAGAATATCTCCAGCTACTCAGAAGTGGACTCAGTAGTTATCTGCTGCCCTCATGGTGTTGCCATGTCTGTGTCAATATATACTGTGGTTTACTGAATTTTTTAATGCAGCTCATACTTTGAAACTTAAAATTGATTTGTAAAGAAATTACAAATGCCACTATAAATGAGAGATTACTGTCCCTTTTAATATTGTATAATATGAAAAATGTTCATTAATTTGTTATCTAAAAGAGCACTGCCGGCCAGGTATGGTGGCTCACACCTGTAATCCCAGCACTTTGGGATGGATGAGGTGGATGGATCACCTGTGGTCAGGAGTTCGAGGCCAGCCTGTCCAATATGGTGAAATCCCATCTCTACTAAAAATACAAAAATTAGCCAGTCGTGGTGGCAGGCGCCTGTAATCCTAGCTACTTGGGAGGCTGAGACGGGAGAATTGCTTGAACCAGGAGGTGGTGCTTGCAGTGAGCCACGATTACACCACTGCACTCCAGCCTGGGCAACAGAGTAAGACTCTGTCTCAAAAAATAAAAAAAAAAAGAACACTACATACCACACTTTGGGGAAACTTGGAATGGGTGATGAACAGTAAAGATAAAGACCCATATTGTCCCTTCCAGGAGCCAGGATGTGTCACATGTTGTGCTGGTATACACAAAAAGGCTGCCCTTTGAACAGTATGGTACCTTATCACAGGAGGAGACAAGCAGAGGAGGAATTTTCCAGGTTAACTGGTTGGGACAAGCATTCTAAGGAAGGAAACAGCATTTAGAAGGCACAAAGGCCAATGAAGCCTGAGCACATGTGGCGTCAGTAAATGGTGAATTCACCGAGAATTCACTGAAGCAATGGCTGAAGAGGTAGCAGGGTCTCCTGTGTTGAGCTGAGGAGTGAGTACTGGCTGCATCCTGAAGGCAGTGGGAGCCTTTCAGGCTCTGAAAGCTTGGTGAAGCCTAAGGGCCCCTTATTTAAAAAAAAAAAAAAAGTGCTTTTAAATACACAGAATAAGGCCAGACAAGGCAGCTCCTGCCTATAATCCTAGCACTTTGGGGTGCCGAGGCGGGCAGATGACTTGAGGTCAGGAGTTCAAACCAGCCTGGTCAACACGGTAAAACCCCGTCTCTACTAAAAATACAAAACAAATTAGCCAGGCTTGGTGGCGAACACCTGTAATCCCAGCTACTCGGGAGGCAGAGGTTGCAGTGAGCAATCACACCATTGCATTCCAGCCTGGGCGACAAGAGTGAAACCCCATCTCAAATAAATAAATACATAGAATAAAAGCCTGGAATTACAGAGCAATCCCACTCTATCAAAGTAGCTATGAAGATGTCAAGAAGCCGGGTGCGGTGGCTCAAGCCTGTAACCCCAGCACTTTGGGAGGCCGAGGCGGGTGGATCACGAGGTCAAGAGATCGAGACCATCCTGGTCAACATGGTGAAACCCCGTCTCTACTAAAAATACAAAACATTAGCTGGG